AATCTTCTAAGAATTTTTTATTATTTCGTTTATTAGTTGTTAATATTTATTTGTTATTATTGCATGTTCTTTAGGTATATATTTGTTTCAGATGGTACAGTCAACTCTACCAGTACTACACATTTAGTTATTTTTATTTATAGGATATATATATGGTATGGTATGATGAAACAACCACATCGACACAGTAAAACATATCTATGTTCGCTTGTGATTAGATGACGCAGACATACTAAGATATTAATATTATTATTATAATATAATTGAGAATTGTTGTCAAGTTCGCTATTCAACAAAGTAGCTCGTCTTGTGCTTTATCCGTCGCAGATATTTGTCTTAAAAAAAATGGAGAAAGAGTATTATGTCTTTACTCTAACGGAATTATCTAGGCGTAAAGTATATTATATAAATAATATACTTTATATATATATATATTATATTATATTATATAGTATATTACTGTAAAGTTTCATCAAAATCCGTACAGTAGTTTTGTCGTGAAACAGTAAAAACAAACATCCATCCATTCAACTATCTATCCATAATCACTAACTTGCGTGTTTATAATATTATTAAGATTAATATTGTCCGATTTTAAAAATAACGGTAGACGAATACATGGCATAATGTGTGTATGCCGTTATCAAAACCGTTTCCACATATACAGAATTGTAAACAAACATTGTGTTCGAATTCAAGAGGCAATATGCCTAAATTCAGCCAATTATATGGACAATTATCAAGATAGGAAAAAACGGCACAACGGTGCAATTTATAAAAAAAATAAAAGCGGACACAATAGCAGTGGCCGTCGACATTGTTCCCACGTCGAAGCGGTACGGGGGAATTAAAAAAAAAAAGGTAACAGCATCGAGCACCCTGCGGCAGAGAGCCACCTATAATGAAAACGCCTTTGCCCTAAACCCGTAAAGATATTAAGGCTGTATCAGAAAATCACTGACAATATTACCAGACGTCGTACAAGTTGGCGGCTCACAAAGCGTTCTGATTACGGACGCCGAAGCACCTCATCATTATCTACCGCCCGCCCTGTTTATTTTTCTCAGATAAAGATTAGCCGGAGTGTTGTGCTATTGGCGGGGTGGCGTTATAGGGTGAGCGGGGCGGTGTCGGGGCGTGTCAACGGGACTCCGCCCCCGGGGCTCCGTCGGCCGCGAAGTGTGAAACGGTCGCCTGGGCCGTACGTACGAGCCATGCCGTGGACGGAGCCCTGACGCCATGCTCGACATCAAAAGCTCAGCCGACTACCTGAGTCGGTCGGGCACGTTCACCAACTTCTCTATGCTGTTTGCTGGTGAATATACGAGTACTTACTTATTGAGTGACGTGTTCTGTGAAGTGTTGTGCTGCGCTCTGTGGTTTGGGCCCGGTAGATGTTGGTCCCATCGATTAAGTTTCTATATTTTTTGTAATACGTCTAATTAATTCTATAACCCATCGTAAGTACGCACGTAAGAAGTTATATTGGAAGATTATAATTTGATAGTGATGTTTTTGGGAATATTCCAATACGAGAATGAACATATGCCTATTAAATGAATGAAAGATATATATTTATATTTCTTATAGTAGACATACGCGTAGTAATTTAGTAGTTTTTGAAAAACTGCCTAACAATGCTTTTTGTTTATTCCCAAAGGAGAATAAATGCCAGTTAAATTAGAATTCTTTATGTTATATTAAACGCCGGGGAAAAATTTGATTGTAGCAAAATTCATATATTATCACATTCGTATAAAACCAAAATATTGCTAGATATTTAAAGATAATTTTCCATTTTATAGATATAAAAGCCGTCTATAGAAAATCCAAACTAATAAATAAATTTACATTCTTCACTCAGTTCGCTCTGGGAAACATCGTGGTTGATTCCTGGTGAGTTCGCCCTGCTGGGCCTCCTGGTCTGATTGTATACTCATCCTATCATCCTCCACCGATGCCTCGCCAAAATGTACATAGGTTTTATAAAATGTTTAAATCGTTAAAATTAAAATACCTATCTGTGAATTTTGCAGACACATGTTATAAATCGTATATACTGTAATTCGGTTATATCGGATTGTAGTTTGCACCTATAGGAACTTCCAATAACTTATTCTTGTCAAATAACATTATACGGTTTACCATAAATATTACACATTCATATTCATTGCACATTTAAAGATATTCTTTTAGTGTACCGTTTATTGTCTTTTAAAACTCGCGTTAAAGTTGATATTAAGTGTTTGTTTAAAAATTGTTTTACATTTAAATAAAATTTAACGCAATATATTCAAACGGCAACCAATAAGCCCCACCACTTGTATAGTATATATATAGATAGATTTAAAAAAATGTTTTTTATTATTTTAACTAATATTTTTATAATTATTTACGGCAATTTAATATACTAAGCTCAGGGCAGCGTCTGGCTGCGTCAGCGTCAAACAAAACAAATATTTATTTCAATTTGCAATACATGAATTCAGTTTTTAATAACATTAAATATAGTGTACAGAGTACGGACTAGCGGTTACGATAGTCTAGCGGTTTATCACCTTACTTCCAATTGCGGCGGCTTCGATTCCTTACATGATTTTTTGTGAATCGGTCTGGGTATATCATTTATCTAGTACCTACCTATAACACAAGCTCTGCTTAGCTTGGGACTGGATGACGCTGTGTAAGTTGTTCTGGGTTATTATTATTATCATTTGATATTTATACAAAAAATTTAGAGTAACAGCATACAGCCAGTGTAGTTCATTGATTTTTTTATAATTGATTAATTAATATTTTATGATTTTTGGTAGTAATTTCCGCTTCAGAATTTAAATTGATGTGACATTTCAATTAATTCAATATTAATCATAATGAATTGACGGAATGAGTTTCTATATTTTTTAACATGCAAATTATTATTTTAAAAAAACTAATGTATAAATAAATACATAAGCACGCCGACGGACGATAGTCTTTTATATTTTTTTAATTACAGTTAAAAATTTATAGAAATCTGTCGTCGATAATAGTTCATTAGATTATTATGTATTCACTATTTGAAGAAGAAAATTTAAACTCCATGGATTCTTATTTGATACGTGTTTGTAATAAGTTCCGATTTAGAATATAATTCTAAAATATTTTACTATTTGGCCAGTTTTTTTTTTGAACAACTAGCGCTTTCGCTAATACACCCGGTATTGTACCTAGAGACAATACAAACGTACATATGTACTGTACATATCTCTTTTAATTAAAATATAACCCGCGTTACTCAATGATAATGCAGTTTTTGTTGAAAGAAGGATTTATTTTATCGTTTGAGTATATTTTTAACTCTTTATAATAATAATTTAGATGTGAAATATGGTTTGAATATAACTTGATAGAATATTGTTACTAAACCCTGAAATCATTAAATTTGAAACTATAATGGTTAAATTAACATTTAAAATTACAATAATAAACATTATATTACAAGTTACAAAGGCTGTAATAGTGAAAATCGGTGATTTATCTCCTGAGTACGGATATTTAGTTACAAAAGAACAAAACACGCAATACTTTATAAAATGATACCTATGCTTCATAACTGTATATAAATAAACCTGAAAAATACTGCCTAGTCTTTTACACCTGTTCACTTTTATCCCAACTCCGTTAAATTGCCGTAATGTTACAGAAGAGACACCTGTGAAGGAGTATTATGTGTTCTGCGGGGATTTAACCCCTCATCCCTTATCACGACACTTTCAAAATATATTTTAAACGCGCCGCGTCTGTTGGGGTGTTTACCGAGTAGGTAAAGTTTTGTGAAGAAATGCTAACGCCGGATTAGCTACTATTACTCACTTGTTCTTTTTACGCATATTTTTGTATGAGTTCTTAGGGATCCGAATTAAAGACGTAAATCGGAACCTTTATAGAGTGATTTTGTGTATTTAAATAAGTAATAAAAATAAGTGTTGGTGTACAGACATTCACAAAAGGAAGATATTAGCCAAACAAAAATTATAATAAGTATAAATAAAAATCATTCAATCATGTAACAGGAACCGATAGTGTTAACTTTTAGGTTTTTTACTATTTTATCGCTATCGCTAACGTTCTAAAAGAAGTAAAATATGGTAAAAATTTAGAGCAATTTGATTCGATCAGCATATATTTATAATAGAAGACTGAATCAATAGAACGAAAACTACAAATTACCAGTAATAAGGTCCTATAAATTTAAATTTGAAATAACTTTAGTAATACGGGATAATAACAAAATCTCTTTTGTAAGAAGATATCCAAAATAATTAGATAAAGTGGAACATGAAGTTCCAAATTTAATAAATATTTTCAGTTTATTTTTACACTACTACTAGCTACAATTCAATTCAACTAATTATTTAGCAAATATCTATTTAGCTTTATATGTATTAAAGCATTTTAAAATGATTCTTTTAGTTATCCATTAAATCCAACAAACCAAATCTTTGCTCCTATCATTAGTTTAAATCTGTCCGTTTTTTATTTTCTATTATAAAACACAAAAAGAAATGGGAATCTCATATTTGTAGTATATTCAACAAATAGTTAAACCTAGTACCTAGTACCACAGTTTATAGCTTATTTTAGGGGTCAGGTCCTATAGTCGCCGTAATCCTTAAACTCTAATTAATACGTATTATGCCCATAAAACTGCGTTATTATATAACTATGTTATTATTGTAATCATCGTTTATTGTGTATTTTTAAATGCTTTTATTATAAAACTAGTGGACCGCTTCAACGCTTTGAGATCTGTATACACAAATATGAAATAATATAGTCTATGTCATAGATATGTCATACGTAGGTATGTTCAAAATAGTGAAACAAATCTGAAATAGGTACATTGATTTCGAAATTTACTATTCTCATATAAAAATCAACTCTCCCAACAGTCTCTCACTAATACCACAGATAACATAATATCTAATACTAAGAAAGGTTTCATTTTTTCCTTTCAGATGCGTCCTACAAAAGTACTTGGTCTTCACACGCGACGTCACAGGGTTCACAAGGTAAGTAAATTAGCCTACAAAATTAATTGTTACTCCTAATGTATTCACTTTAGCTTGGTGTAAAATGTGCGATGATTTTGAGTTACTACCACTGATTCGATTAGGTAGAGCTATTTAGGATCGTTGACCTTAAACATTTATGTTAATATATGTAGATAATCATTAGTAGACCATTGATTTTCTTTGTTTCAATAAATAAATTATTTTGTTCAATGAGTTAGTTATTTTAATTAAAATTAATTGAAATACAAATGTTTTGTTCTTTTCAATCATATTTTGATTGTAGAGGCACAAGTAATTTGTATGGTATGTTCTTGTACAACTTCAGAATGGAAATGTTAAATGATTGTTGATTCTTCTATAAATTGTTACATTTAAAAATATACGTGGCTTAAGTTTTATCTATTTATTGCTTTATTACTATTATCCTTTAGAATGTCCTTATAGGACGGATAGGAAGTATATGTTTTCTCTCTGTGTAAAACTTTTTTCTTTCTACTTAAAAAACAAGTCCTGGGATTCGCGGAATACCAATATTAATCTATCATGTGGCAAGTACATAAAATAGCTCTACCTACTCCGATCACTGGTTATGACAGAACATAACCATAAGAAAAGTATATTAAAATTGATTCACAAAGGCTCTTACTTAAATATTATATTATAGAAAAAAATTGTAAGGAGTAAATATTTTACACTATAGATCCACATAAAATAAATGAAACCTTGTAGACCCTTAGAAGAGTCTATTTCTAGGAATCTATTTCTAGTATTTATTTTTATTTCTTCTTTTCCTAATTTCACTAGTTCAGAAACTATTATTAGTCGAGAAAAACTGGCACGAAACTCAACTTAAATAAGATATACTGTACTGACTGTCATTATCTATATCTAACATCTAAATAAGCGTCATATGTTCAGTGTTGTAGATACACAAAGTCTCTGTCAAGTACTTACATGAGAATGGTAGAAGGTCGAAACATAAATCTATATAACTATACATAAATCTATGTAATATGTCATTGAACAAAATAAAACTGACTTTAGGCAATACAAAAAGCAAACATAAATAACGCGGCCATCACAAGAGTCATAGTAATAAGAGCCAATCGTAGATAATAAGAATAAGAAATTTTTGCAATAAAATAATAATAGAACTCAGAACGTTTTCAACTTCATTACTACATTCAATTATGTACTTTATTTTAATGCTATATACAGTATCGATGTTTAAAATTTCGAGTTTACTGTTCGTAAACCCGAAATATATAATAACGCGTATGTGGCATGTAACAGCCCACGCGATTATACAGTGAAAATTTTATTTCTACTGTATGATCCACAGTGTGTGATTTTTTTTAATTGTAAACGTATTTTTTTTTATATTCGTACTACCTATTATACATTCATATATACCTTTAACGTAGTATAAATGTACTTAAAGTTTCATATATATATTTATACTCCCGTACACTTGACATAATCATATTGCTATGGATTATACAAAACAAATCCATAAGTATTATCCTACTTACCTACTACATTGTATTAGATATTTAGTTACATTGAGAACAATATTGACGCCTAAGGTTTCGTGTTTACACTCACGCTACCGCATACCTGACACGGACAGTGGCATGCATACAACAACAAAATCACATCGCTTTTTACGCGTAAAAATCAAAACAATGGAGCACTAAAATGGCGCACGCGATCGCTAGCGTTAAGCGAAGCGAGCGAGCGACGCGCGGCGTGCACGCGCCGCTCCCAGCAACAATGACGACTTAATTCTTTGATTGACACTTACAATATTTCGGTAAGTGATGCAATATTTTGATGATTATCGCGTGGGGGGCATTTTATCGGCGCGTTACGCTCGTCGTCCCATTGTCGCTCGGGATCGATGCGAATTTGTAACGGTTATAATTAACGTAACCGTATGTGGGACAGTACCGTCTCGTTCTCCTGTTGTCCCCAGAGCAATTTTTTTCTGTTTTTGCAACCAGATATAATGAAAGGAAGAACAGAAGCAGCGTAACCCAATTTTGCTCTCATGTCCCTAAATTTCCAAAAAGAGACAATTACAACTACATTAAACTTGAGTTTTTTAACGAAGTATATACTTAGTCGTCGTTCGTTCTTCTATTCTTAGGCAATACAAAGATGTATATATATATGTATTATTTTACTCATCATATTTTTAAGAATAAACAATTACCACGGTTTTCTCTATGTGGAATCTTTATTATTCTGAGATCACCAATTACCCTTTGTATTATGACCGATGAATATGAATTATAGCAAAGCCGTGCATCGCCCCCTTGCTTTCGTCGCGTCGGTCCATGACGACATAATGCCCCGAGGAGCATTCGACCGCCGCTCCCCACTGTGCAATTATTGTAACGCATATTCACAAAACTATTCGATATTTTTTCGCATTGGACCAAGATATATTCAGTAGTAGAGAATTATTGTAACAATCGAAGAGGAATTAAATAACTTCTGAAATTTGTTTTTTTATTAAAATTTAAACCACGTACAAGCAATCTATAAATATGACTCACTGTTCCTTGAAGAAAATATCGATATCTAAACATAATCTCAGTGACGGCGGTAGACTCGTCTCCTGCCAGGTTGGAATAAAAATGTTTGGTACATACCCATCAAAATATGGGCATATCGTATGGCGTTCACCATAACATCGATTGTTGATAATGCCTCTGACTACCCCATCTACGATAATAGCCGTGATGATTTAAAATTCGTAATATATCTATCGACAATATACGGCTTATTGTCGACAGATATATTACGAATTCCAAATCATTCGTGACTTATCTATCGATATAAGAATACCATAACACAGTGACCCTTGCTCTCCCCAAAAAGAATACCCCAGTTACAAATGAACTTTAAATAACTCCTGCGTCTGTAAACTAAACGATATTCATTAACTGCGATTTGTAGGCGGCATCTTTAATAATATGATTTCATAATTTTATTGGTAGCTACATTTGGAATAGTATTTTGTATTTAGTGGTCTACTTCAGTTACACTTGGTACTTAACTGAAACTAACTAAATGAAGAAGATGGCGTGAGATGGATAGACAAATTGAGATTAAGTACAAGAATAAACAATAAAGTAAAATTGCAAACTGTCGAGTATGATATGCCCTAGTACTAGTTGGTCTGCACCCAACACATGGACAGGCCCATTTGTTGGCAGTTCCCAAATCGTATCATGTGTAGACTCCTTAATATAGACTAGTACCACTTAATATAGAATACTTTCACTGTGATAAAACGAATACATCATAAAACCAGACAGAGCACAAAAAATAAAAAAAAACAACCGAGAATAGAAGCGGTCTTAAAAATAAACCTTACTTAAACCGGAGTTTGGGTTGAAGAGAAAGTTAGCGGCGGCTGCGAAAATTAACTAAAAGTGGCTTTTGTCACGATCGTCTGCACTGCTCGCACACGATGTGTTCATTAGAGACAAAGAGCGAGACGGGTTATAAAGGAAAAAGCGCTTCAGGCGTCAGGAGGGAAACCATAAGCACCCTATTGTTTTGCGTTCTCTGAAGCGAAAAGGAGATATAGCTATTTATGAAGATAGACAGAGAGAATTGTAATTTAAAATGAAAATCGGAATGTTTTTGTACGCTTTGGTACCTACAAGGGTGGTAAGAGTGATTTATATATGTAGTGTGAGGCTACAGACACTGGAAATTTTAAAGGACGGTTAAAGTAAACACATATATGTCAGCAGAATATTCAGAAATATAAGAAAACAGTATAGACTAATAATTTACACAATGTACATCTCAGAAAATAGGCAACTAGGATATATATTACAATAAGTAAGACTAAGGCGCAGGGGTTTATAACTTAGTTAAATCATATATATATATTTATATGTTTTTTATCCCGGAAACAAATTTGACATTACCAGTGTTATCAGCTTTTTGCATTTTTTAAATAGGTTTGTTTACGGTTTATGTTTATTAATTTATGTTTTGTTATAGTTTACTTAAAAATAATCTGTGGATTTATATTCAAAACCCTTAATATTGTAAAGTAATAACTTATGATTAAACACATCGATATCGCAGATCTGTGCGACAGGTGGGAACATTATTTGAAAATTAACATTTACAGCTGCCAATTTAGTCTCCGAGATTCAAAAACAATCAAACAATGTAAACCTACATTTATATTATACTAATAAAATGGAATTAATCTCTATTCAAATAAATATAATATAAGAACTTTGTGTTACGGTGCGTATATGTCAAGTTCATGTAGTTAATATATTCTTAGTAGTCATTAAACAAATGTGTACAAATTCCACATAATTAAGATTTTGTGTGATTATAAAAATGCCTGTCTATAGCTTTTTTAATAGTCATATTTTATATTCTACTACTCATTTGTTATTACTTGTAGTATTATCTTACCTGTGCTTGCACTGCACGGTGAAAATACCACACACTAACTTATTAAGTTCAACATGTAATTTAGAAAATAAAGAACATATATAATTCAACTTCAAGGGTATTGTTCTTCTGTACAATAAATATTAGAATACTGTGGAAAACATGCAACTACACTGTTCTATGTTTGGGATGAACTAGTAAAAATGTAATGTCCCATATGACCATCGATCAATGGAAACCAGACACCGCAGACCCTGCACACAGTGTAAAAGCATGCACTATAAACGATCGTAAATGTACCCCCGATAAATCATAGTTTAGGAACACAGTTATAGATATGAAAAGAAAAACATCTTTATAATTATATATATGAAATCCGCAATTAGGTACCAGATCACTTTTTTACCCTGTTTCGGTTCATTGTCCTTTAAATTACTAATTCTATAGTAGATATAACATCTACGTCGAAATCGCAGCGGGAAGGCGACAGTTTATGATCGGGATAACTGGCGCTATTACTAGCAATATACGTACCATATTCAGTCTACGTGGTTATCTCTGGAAACCATCATGGTTAATATGCCACAATGCGCAGTCTGCCACACTCTATGTTTATCTAATCATCATTAACTAATCCCCCGCCAGTACACAGTTACATTTCATCACTATACATTAATAAAATGGAAATGGCAGTACCTGACGGGTAATATGGACGTAATATGATGGTGCGATTTCCGTATTGCTACATTCGACGCCCTTGAAATATACAATGTCACTTCTCATCGGGTCATCCCTCAGCCTTTTTATCTTTCATATACAACAGTGTATAAGTATAAAAGAAAACATTCAACATACCAACATTTGTCGTTATCTCTGGAATCCAATCCAATTCTACATTCAAGTAGTTGCGTTCTTCGCTCACACATTTTAATAGTGCCTCTGACTATCCTATATATGATAACAGTCGTGATATATTATTATTAAAAGCCACTGCAATAACTAATTTAAACCCACACGCCAAGAAAATTATTCGCAATATTAGTGCCCACAAAAAACAACGACATAATAACCGCCCATCTAACAGATATAGAACGCCCCTCAAAACTTTTAAATTAAATCCCGAAAACCCGTCAGAACCACAAATTAGATATCTCATTACCCCAGATCAAAGGATTCTGGCGTCAAAACTGTTTGCAGGGTGTTGGGATGAGAGCAAAGACACGGAGAGATATTTTGGGGGACGATTAGTGCCTACAGTGTGAATCGCCTGCGGCCATATACTATAAACAAGGCTTACATTTTTATATAAAAGTACAGCTAATTAAAATAAAATTTAATCTTATCTTGTGTTTTAATACGACAACATAACCTAATAGTAGTAAGTTTGACATGACAAACTAAAATGTCTATGCATTTTAGTTCAATAGTATAGTCAATTTATACTTTTGCTTATATCTAGTGATATAAAGACTAATAGAATAAACACTTGAAATAAACACTTTTAGCCGAAACACAACAAATGTGATGGAATGCAGTCAAGAAAGGACTTAACCATTACGTATATCATTAACAATACATCTGATATACTGACTCACCATCAGATAGCGAGGATATGCTCACAAATAATACCTGTGCCTTGATCTTAACAAAAATATTAATAAAATATATATCAATATAGATTAAGAAGCAGCAATACTGCTACTATAGAAACTGTTTTTATTTTTTACATGATAGTATATGATGGCTATTATCATGCTTTGCAGTATTTTGTGTAATAGTGTCACCTCCCTCGGTCTAACAAAACAATCACTATCTCCCCAGAAAAATCAAAGAACCGAAAGACATGAAATCAAAAATACACCCGAAATCAAAAGAGTTTCCACAGTGTTGCTCCAACGCTAACAATGCGTGAAATCTGATTGCAGCATCAAAGAGTATCTAATCCTCAATATATACGCAATTGAAAATATATTTAATGTCAATTGTAGTAAGGTGTAAGTTCGTGTAGCGTAGAATGGGAAGTAGCCCGAGGCATTGTTCACCCCCTGAAGAAATAATAGCCTATATTGTCAACGAATGGATTGCGATGCTACAGCCGAGGTGGTATGTTAATTATGATACGATTTAAATGATAGATTGTTGGAATTTATCTATTCCATGTATTAACTATTATACTACTATACTCACTTAAAACAGATTAAAATCTACAAGTTTAGTTTTATGTATGAGCTATTTCATAATTTCATATACGCAATCCCCCAAATTTTTAAACCATGTGCAAGCTGAAATCGAAACTTATTAATTCTTACTTTTTACAAAATATGTATGCGTATTTATTATAGCTTATAAGTAATATTTTTGTATCATTTTATAAATCTAAACCAAGCCAATACGAGCGAATTTGTAGCTAAAAAATATTAGTAAAAACAAGAATTGGCATTTTTTAATCAAGTACCCCTAATGTTCTACCGAATTTTATATTCCAAGTGATACCAGTCTCTAAAGGCCTGCATTTAGGTTGAAACTCGATTGGACTCAATTTACCAACATAGAATAATAGCATTATTGCTGTGAGTGAGTGGAGATTGGAAAAATCGGTAATTTGCCATTTCTTTGTCCTTAGCCATTCGATATTGACGGCTGATTGTTTTATACAATCTTTGTGAGGCACAATAAGAACAAATTGTGTTATTGTATCTACTATATTACACTTAGTATAAATGGGGTTCAACAAATTGATGCGAGATTGAAAAAAGTCGTTGTATCACAAGAATATAATATTTTTTTCATTAACGAACTCAATGATTACTTAAAAGATTTATTAATATCATGTAAGATATTTACAGTAAAATAATAAATTGAAATAAACAATAATATAATAATAATTATTGTTTATTTCCGTTAATATTTACTTTAAAATACCAACATTTGGACTTGTTAGTGGTTTTTTTTAAGTTAAAGAAGTACCTATATATTATGTGCATATTAACTAAACATAAATCATTAATCACAAATAGTGGAGAGGGGACTGTTAGTAATAGAACTAGTGGAACAATATACTTTCGGTTCATTACGACTTCCACAGAGTTCTTCCTGGAAACCATCGTAGTTTATTCTTGGTAAATCCACCACATGAGTTAATTAACCTTAATTCATGTCCATCATCTGGGCCATCCCCATCCTTGTCAGCGTATACCACTGGCTCAGGCATATTATCCATGTCATTTTTGTCTATAAAAATAGGAATCCCTGTTTTATAAATTATTATATTATGTTATTTTTGTTTCAGGCTATGGCACCAATTCGTTATCTGCTATGTCGAAATCGACACTCGATGCACACACGCATCTTCGTCAACCAGGTTAGTGAACATATTTTCTTCTCTTCCTCAAATTGGTTTCCTAACTTTAAGTGCCGTGACCGCCCAGCAGAATCACTTTCTCTCGGTCATATTTCTCCATCTGTGTCAATCTTTCGCATCATGGTAATCTTATCGAAGTAGTATTTGAACAAAGGAAATCTGTTTTGCTTAAGAGGCAAAATAGAAAATTGAAATTCCTGGATAGTGAGATAACATCTCAGTACTCAGGAATAGCAATGCATGAAGAGAAAATCACGGTTATCACAATTTATTTCGTTATTACATGACATTCATGGCTACAGTGCTAGGCCGTAGGGGACTTGAAGCCTCAAACTAGTAATATAATATACTATTGTAGAAAACACAGTTAATAAATGCTGGTGAAATTGTCATGATAGGCTAATGAAACTGAACTCGAAATCAAAAGATCGAAAACTCGAAATCAAAAGGCCCGCCAGCGCAGATCGTTGGCAAGTACGACATAATTTCCAATCATTCATTATCACCTTTGCCATTCCAGTAATCTACGAAAAATAACGAAAAACGAAAAATCTCAGCCAAGTCAAGAGAGTGCATCTCAATTGTACCTAATGAACTATAAATTTTATTCGACCATTAGGTGAGCAAGGGACGGTAACCAAACAGCCGAGCCGTTACTGTTTGTTGTCCACGGTCAGTTACCCAGAGCACATAAAGCACGTTTGTGTCTCGGTGCCATTGTGTTCAAACATATTCTTTTCGGTCCCCCCGGGTCGGACCGGTTCGGGAATTGCAAATGTTGGCAATTTCACTGACTGTGTTACTATATTGCAGAAACATTAAGTTTACTCGCTTTCGGTCATAAGACGTGGTTAAAAAATTTAATATATAAGTGGGAAATCTGAAATATATTTTTTAACATATTTTAACGAGCATACATTTTTCAATATGAATTTTTATTACATTTTATTTTATTAATAATACTATGGTATATAGACTTTTATATTTTAGTAGATAGTTTAAGTACATTAAACATTTTTAAGGGATATGGCAAGAATCCTGGAACTAACTTGTATTCTGAAAATAACCTAATCATTCATTTTTAACAGTCAACAGTCATTCAACAGTTATTTTTAAAGCTATAGTAGATGCTTGAAACTTATTTTTTGACCTGTTCATTAAATATAATTAATAATTTAAAGATTTTATAAACAGGACGTCAGGACGAAGTCGCGGGCACAACTAGTATTATATACACCGAAGTTTCTGAGTATGGATGGATGAAAGTTTGTTACTCTTTCACGCAAAAACTACTGTATGGGTTTTAATAAGCCTTTAGTATAATATATATAATTATATATACTATAATTAGTAAAGTTTCATTAAAATCAGAATAACATATTAGGCTATAAACTTCACGAAGGTAAACACCGCAGGCACAGCATCTGTACCATATAAATTCTGAACAATTTCATTTGTTTAATATTTTTATGATACTTCGATATAGTAAAGAAAGATTTGTATTATGAATTTTTTTTGCATTCACAAATTCTGATTATATATCTAACAAAACCGAATTCAATAGGACACAGGGCCACAATAAATGTATTTCGATTAGATATAATCAATTCGCGCATTCTCTTTATAGTGTTGATGTATAAGTGCGTATATTAACCCCATTGCGTAACTCTTTATACGTTTTCAGCATTTAAACCAATTAAGCTCATTATATCGGACATTCAAATTAAATAAAATTGTTGCATCGACTCTGTAAATGGTTAAATTAGTCTGTTTTTTAAATAACAGGTTAATTTGAAAAGTCTTGTGTGTATGGTTAATATTTTACACTCACAATAGTATAAGTAAGAATGGGTTTTGGTCGCATGTAATATGTATTCTAAACATAGATAATGTATATATATCATTATAGACGACCTATGTGGACTTGCGGTTTAGTACAACGCTTTACTTCCGATAGCCGCGGAGGTCCATTTCTTCGCACGGTACAAAAATTTGTAACCATGTTGATTGTTTGAATGGGTCTAGGTGTTTTCTATATATAGGTATTATGTTATGAATAAAATTATCGTGTCACAATGTTACTTACCTTAGTCCTCCGAAACGGCTTGACTGATTGATATGGAAATTCAATAGGTCTGAGAATTGACTACTATCTATTTTTCATACCTCTAACAGATAAGACTTTTACAACCCAATAGTTTTTCTATTTTTAGATGTTTTTTTTTTTTTATAATATGGCATAAAAATATATACAACCCTAAATTTTCTATGTTCTACCGTCAATCCATTTATTTAAGTAGCGATTTTCATTTACATGGCAAAACATAGTTTGCTGGGTCAGTTAGTATATTATATGTATTTACAAGAAATCAATACATTTTTAGTAAACATAATGTATAATGTACATAGAAAAGAGTCAATACAGAGTATTATATCACGCGTTTAGTACAAAACACAAACTGCTTAATTTGGAACTAGATAGCGCTGTGAGAATTGTCCAGGGTTATTGCTATCACTATCTCGATATTACTACTAGTATATTTATTTATCAAATAATCTCATAAAATTAATTTAGCTGACATGTAACATTCTATGCAAACATAAAACCATTATGTAACATAAATTTTTACGTGTTGCATGGATAATGTACTTGATGTAATTGTACAATTTACACGTTTCAACGTTCACCAAACCGACTAAAGTAAAAGACAGAGGTAAAATGTACCCTATCTGGCACTACCGTCATGAAGGTATTTGTGGTACACATAAATAAACGTAAATAAACGAGTTACCTACCTACACAGGCAAAATTGCAACAATTTTATCTATTTTAAAATGTCTGGAAAATATTGTAAATTCTTATGATTGCATTACCGAGTTCATCCTTGTTCAGAAATGGACGGAAAAATAGAATTTATATATAATGAAGTTTACTAAGTGGTGGGTAGCACAGAAATAAGGAAGTGACTTCTTCCTACCGGCTCCCAGTTTAGCTACAAACTAGTAACGCTATTAGGTTTCTGTATTACTCGGCCCTTGGTACTTGGTCTTTATATAACAGTTTAATTTCAATCAAGGAATTCTAACGGATACTACGGACTACTCTAGAAAGTTACTTTAAAAATCAATATCGCTTTTGAAGCTTATTTAAAACTCGGTTAGTATCAAATGAAACATGCTGCATCGACTCGATTACAACAGAAACCCAGATATAATAATAACTCATTGTTTTACTTGAACGAACATAACATGATTTTTCGAATACGAATTCGATTTTATTTAAAGGATTCGTATATCGAACATAGTAGAATTACATCGGCTAAAAAGGTTACGGCCCACCAGATCCATAGTTTATATGCCTGAACAGCACCACGGATATTATTTTTAGAGAAAACTGTTGAAACACCTTGTAAGTTGCCATCTTGTCTCATCAGATGGACTAAAGTATTAAACAGAAGTACCTTCAATTTCACTGCCATCCTCTAACTGAATCACCTCTTCCAAAGAAACTGCTTCGTGGTTGGCTAAACTGGGTGAGACTCATCTCTGTATATTCATCCATGCATACTACTTTTATCTAATATTGGTGAATAGAATAAGAGTACTAATAGAAATCATATTTATTAAAATAAATTTAAAATAATCTCCTTTGGATAGTCATATATTTATTTTATTCTACCGCTCATTCCGAATGAGCGGTAGAATAAAATAAAGCAGACTCATTAAAAAAAGAACGAGAAAAAACGTGTTGCATTTTTGAAATAAATGTTTTTCAGCTATACATGTATAGGATTTTATGTGTATGTAAACTGCCAAATAGCAAGATTGACAAAATTAAATAAATATAATAGCTATTTGAGTAACAAAATAAATATATGCCTTCTTAGCCAATTGATTCCCAAAGAAATATTCCATGTTCCTAGTTCACAAATAAGATTGGCGAGATGTTCGCAGAGCCACTAACGAAGAGTTTTTCATTAACTAAACTGAACTTGAGTTAACTGGCCCCACTTTTCTTGGTACGTGAGTGTTTTACGAGATCATTTACTGTAGCATTATAAATCAATTTGTATATATGTGGTATATATCTACTGATACATCTTAAGATTTTGTGGAATATATTTTCCGGATTGTTTAAAAAACGGTCATGATATTCAATTTAAATGTATGTATAGCAATCTATGAGAACGAAGACAGTTGTCAGTTGTAATTGTGATTTTTATGTAAAAAGAGAAAAACTGCAATAACTATTTACCGTCTGTTTTATTGTAATAAAGAATGTAATAAAAACGTAAATGAACTCTGTCTGTACATGACTAATATGAGAGAAAACAACTTTTGTTGAGATATTATAAATGTAATATATTAGAATCCAAAACAGGGACTACTAAAATGTTTGTCTGTCTGTCTGTTTTGATGTGCGTGTGTGCTCAATCGCAACAAAGAGTTTACCGATTGGGGTACGGTTAATGCATTGTAGTATGTAATATTATGTTATCTGTGATTGTAGTTTATAATATAGGGAAATACGCTTAGTTTAAAATTTAATTCCAAACGGTTTACAAACTACATTTTATACGACTACGGGTTAGGTATTAATATATCGGCAAATATACGCGCAAAAAACAGTCTACTTGAAAGTCGTCTCTATTCTGAAGCCGGTTAAAAAATACTTGAAATCCAGACAAAAGACATCACACCGTCATACAGTATGTATGTACACCAAGCTTATAGTACTTTTAATAAAGAACGTCAAAATGTCGTCATTCTGACAGCATTGCGCGTCTCTATTTCATTAGAAAATATTAGCTCAGTTCAGCGGACCATGTTGACCCTCGTGGCAGGCGCGTGTCGGCTGACATGCGACCGCGAGGGACAAGGTTCGAATTACAACAGAGCAGGGATAGTTTTGATTTGTGATTTTTGGGCTCCGGTGCGGTTAAAGTGCTTGTGAATCGGGGTTATACTCCTAAGGGAACAATTGGCCCGTTTCAATAAAA